TAACATGGACTCCAGAAAGGAGAGAATTCAACAGAGGACAGAGACCCAACAGAACTCCTTTCTTGGATCTCAGTAACCGTGTGCTACATCTTAGTAGGGGTTTCAGACGGCGCAGAGATGAGCTGGGTATTCTATGCACTATACTTAACTGGAAGGTACCCAAGATGAAAACGGTACATGAGTACATCTCTGTGAAGTCAGAGTGTAGAGTTACTATGGGCTTTGATTTGGATGTACTGCTGTTTCTATTCTTACACTTATTTATTAGAAATATTCCCCCATCGGTAGAAGGAAGAGATGGGAACAAGGGAGGGCAAGTTTTTCCCTAGTAACTGCATGACACTGAATGGAAGAAAGGGGGTCGGGATGTGAGGGGGAGTGACATGATTAGCTGCTTTTTTTTTTTAACCTTCACCCCAGGATATTTTTTCCACTGCTTTTCAGGGTGGGAGGGAGGGAGGGAGAGAGACAGGCATTGATGTGAGAGAGACACATCAATTGGTTGCCTCTCGCACGTCCCCCCAGTCAGGGCCAGGGCTTGAGCCTGCACCTGAGGTACGTGCCCTTGGCTAGAATTGAACCCAGGACCCTTCAATCCGAGGGCTTGAACCACTGAGCAAAACTGGCAGTGCATGGTGTGCTTCTGAAACAGAAAAAAGGGTGTCTGGAAAGTGCTTCCTCAGGGACTGGGAGGGGGCTGGGGAGGAGTACTCCTGGGGGGCGGGGTGACCGGGTGTGCCCAAGGACACGCGTAATGTGGAGATGTCGTAATGGGTGTTTGTGATTCAGGGACCCTGTGTAGGAACTTTATCTTCCCTGCCCTGACGGAGCTGATTCTGTAACTCCTAGATTTGGTGTGTAGGAAGAACTCACTCATTTAACATAAAGAGCAGAGCAGGAAATGTTCTTGCCACTTATAATTTTTGAAAACATGTAGCAAGTGACACGCAGAGGCAAATGACCTCCTCACCGTGACGCCTGGACTACACTGGAGGCTGTGGCTCAGTTGTACTTCACCCCTGTTCCTGTGAGAGAACTGAATTGAAATAATTGAACTTCTCTATTTTTGTTGAAAAACTTGAAGTCAGGCTGAGTTTATTTTTCAGCCTGTCCATTATTTTCAATTTGAGAGAGCGTTTGTGTTGCTGCTTCACCGTTGAGACGTTGATTTCATAATTGACAGGGGTGCTTAGAGAATAATTTCGCAGCTCTGTCACAAATGGGTTTGTTTCTTTTCTAACCCTAAGTATTTGAAATTAGGTTGTTGAAAGTCTTTAAGCATATTAACAAGCCCCCTTTCCAGTGAGTGGAAGAACGTGGACTGAGTGCCACTTTCAGAAACACGAGGAAGTTACTGGGAGCGCTGTTCCCACGTTCCTGCAGCTGATTCAGGCCTCAGGGACGGCGTTTATTTTAGAGTGTTAGCCCAAGAAATGGTTCTCAAAACATCCGGCGTTGTTGTGGCTTTACAGACCCAAAGTGATAATAAGCCTGGATAGGTTTCCTTCTACAAATATTTAATTATTTTTTCAAAAAGCAAGAATTATGTTGATGAAGTTTTGATAATCCTTGTGAAATAATATATTAAGAGGGTTATTGAATAAAAACCACTTGTCTGTCAGTAATATGAGAGAAACAAGTTGAATTACACAGCTAACCGATTTAAGTTTGTTTATTTTAGTGGAAAAGAAAGGTTTCTTAGCCATTTTCAATTATGTGATGATTTCTTCTTGTCACTTATTTTTTGGTAATGGCTTTATTGAGACATAACCCATATATAATTTGCCCGTTTAAATTGTATAATTCAGTGGTTTCAGTATGTAGTTGTGCAACCATCTCCACTATTTAATTCCAGAACGTTTTCATCACCTCAGAAAAACCCCTGTACCCTTTAGCTGTCACCCCAACTCTTTCCTCTCCTCAGCCCTAAGCAGCCACTAATTACTTTTATTATATAGTTGCCTATTTTCGACATTTCCTGTAAATGGAATCATATAGTATGTGGTCTTTCGTGCATGATTCTTTTCACTTAGCATATTGTTTTCAGTCTGTACCTCATTCCTTGTCATTGCTGAATAATCTGTTGTATGGATAGTCCATATGTTGTTCATGTCTTCAGCAGTTGATGGACATTGGAGTTGTTTCTACCTTTTGGCTATTTATGACTAATGCGCTATGAACAGTAATGTACAAGTTTTTTCATGGACATATTTTCATTTTTCTTGATATATACCTGGGAGTTGCTAGGTGGTTCATGTTTAGTGTTTTGAGGAACTGCCAGATTATTTCCTGTAGCCACCATACCAGTGTATGTCCCACCAGCAGCATCTCAGGACCCAGTTTCTGCACGTCCTCAACACTTGTTGTCTGTTTAGTCTTAGCAGTGGTTTGGGCTTACTTTTCCTCAAAGGCTAACGATGTTGAGCATGTTTACTAGTGTTTATGGGTCATTCGTATATCATTGTATAAATTCAATTCTATTCAGTTCCTTCGTTCATTTTTTAATTGTCTTGTTTGTCTTTTAGTTGTTGAGGTCTAAGAGTTCTTTATGTGCTCTGGATAAAAGTCCTTCGTCAGATGGATGATTTGCAAATATTTTCTCCTGTTTTATGGGTTGTCGTTTCTCTTTCTTGATGGTTTCCTTTGAAGCAAAAATTTTTAAAATTTTGATAAAGTCCAGTTAAATTTTTCTTTTGTTGCTTTTATTGTCCTATCTAAGAATACATTGCCAAATCCAAGGTCACAAAGGTTTATACCAGTGTTTTCTTCTAAGATTTTATAGTTTCTCTTTTACATTTAGGTCTGTGATCCATGTTGAGTCCATTTTTGTATATGGTGTGAGATAGGGAGTCCAGAGTCATGCTTTCATGTGGATATTCTGTTTTCCCAGCACCGTTTGTTGAAAAGACACTTTCCCCGTTGCATAGTCTTGGCATCCTTATCAAAATCGATTGGCCACATACGTATACGGTTATTTCTGGACTCTCAGTTATTTTCTATTTACGTCTGTGTCTGTCCTCATGCCGGTGTCACACTGCCTTGATTACTGTTGCTTTGTAGTAAATTTTGAATTCAGGAAGTGTGAGTCCTCCAACTTTGTTCTTTCTCAAGGTTGTTTTGGCTATTCTGGGTTCCTTGAATGTTCGTGTAAATTTTAGGATCAGCTTGTCAGTGTCTATAAGAAGCCAGCTGGGGTTCTGATAGTATTGCATTGACTATGTAGATTAATTTGGGGAGTATTGCCATCCTAACAATATTATTTTTCTGTTCATAAGTATGATATGTCTTTCCATTTATTTACATGTCTTAAATATTTGTTCAAAAATGATTTGTGGTTTTCAGAGTTTAACTGTGGTAAACTTTTTTATTGTGGTAAAGTTTGTATGACAAAGTTTGCCATTTCAACTTTAATTGTTCCATTCAGTTGCATTAATTATATTTACAATGCAAAGTAAAAGATATGCACTTATTTTGTTAAAATTTTCCTTAGGTGTTTTTTTCTGTCTCTGTGTTTGTGTTTTTTTAAGTGGTCAGGGCACAAATCCAGGTAACTGGATGGATCTCCTACCTGAGGCAGCCAAGCTGTGTTTCTTTTTTGTTGTCAATCCTCACCCAAGGATATTTTTTCCATTGATTTTTAAAGAGATTGGAAGAGAGTAGGGGGAGAGAGAAATATCAAAATGAGAGAGACACATTGATTGATTGCCTCCTGCCCACAACTTGACCAGTCTGGGATGGAACCTGCAACCCAGGTATGTGCCCTTGTCTGGGCATCAAACCCAGGACCGTTGGGTGTGTGGACTGAAGCTATAACCACTGAGCCACACCAGCCAGGGCAACCAATTGATGTTTTTCTTTCCCTCCCCCCCAAATCAATTAAAAAAAAAAAAGGCAAGGTGGCTGGTGGGGGTAGGTGTTTGTCATTTCCTCTTTCTGAGGATGCTAATTAGAATTCTTAGTTTTCCTGATTTATCTGTTTCCTTTGGAGTCAGTTCTTTGTTTACCTTGGAACTTTTCCTGCCAATGATTTTCCTTTAAAGACGTGATCCTTGAGTGTCCATTTTGTCATGGATTATTTAGAAAACTTCCCTAAAAAGAACTCTGAATTAACCGTTGTCCCTCCTGAGGGGTGATATTTTGAGGACTTCGAGGTCCTCAGTTGATAAGATTTTACAGCTTTTCTTTTCAGTAGCATTTTCATAACAGTTGGTTTGTAATATAAGTAAAACTTCATTTCATATTAAGAAAAACACTTTAAAAATCCTTGCCATTCTCAGTTATTGTCCCTTTCACAGCCCCACCCACATCCCCCTTCTTAGGATTTTTCTTTCCCTACCATGTAATTCTTGTTGATTGTATTGCTAGTTTAATGGTGCTTAAAATATTACATTTATTATCTGAAAAAAATATCCTCCAGTAAAATGAACTTTAAATGTTTTTAAAATAAAGTCTGGTGTGGGGAACTGTAACTCGTTTTTCATTTGCCCAGTATGCTCCAGCATCACGTTTGAAAGGGAGCCTTTAGGTAAACATTTAGCAATAAGAGTGTGGAGATAAACCTTCTACAAGCAGAGTCCAAAGTACTGCTGGAGCGGTTTTATCAGATTCAGGATATGTATCTGTTATGCCGAATGCTGAAATCATTAGTCATGTCAGCCTGCAGAGTTTGTACAAAATTTTACCAGCTTGTAAAACTGTTTTATGACCCAGAAGGAATGCCAGCAGTAAAACAAACGCACTCATAACAAATGCACTGGGCATGCAGCAGATTTTCATGCCCAGATATGCTTCCAGAGAGGAAAACTACTGTGTGGTTTGGGACAAGAGCTTGTAGCAATTTGGAGTCAGTCTCCCTGGTTTGAGTATTTGTAAAAGGAAACTCATTTTTCAAAAGTGCTTGGCCTAGTACCCTTTCTCTGCCCTCAGCTGCCTTCCATTTAGATACCGTGAAGTTGTCGGTGACCCCAGGTATGAAAACATCACTGTCCTTTTTTTGGAGTGGCTTGAATTTTTCATATGTTGATATTACTTATTTTCGTAATCAGTCCCCTATAAAGTGATAACAATTGGCAACATTTCTTACTACAGTTTTTAAATTTTTTCATTACAGGGAATTTCAAACATGAAAAGTAGAGAGAGTAGAATACTGAGCCCCGTTTCTGTCACCTTCTTCACCAGTGTCACATCATGGTCAGTCGACTCATTATTTTATTCCCCTTTCCCCAAGAAGGACCCTTCAGAGGCAGCTCCTGGACATGTCATCTCATTTGTGAGTGTTTCCATGTATACCGCAAGGAAATGAGGATTTTCTTTAAAAACAGAGCCGTAATAACATTGTGACATTAAAAAAAATAACAGTAATTTCTCAGTACAATTAAGTAGTCATAGCTTAAATTTCCCTCTTTTGTTGTTGTTTTTAGTTGATTTGTTCTTTGGGAACCAAGACAAAGTCTGCACGTGGCATTGGGATTAGGCTGCCACATTCTCTTTTAACCCATGGGCTCCTCCTCCCTCCTTTCCCCCTTCTGCAGTTTATTTGTTGAAGGAACCAGGCTGTATTCCTGTCCTGCTTGTACCATTTTACCGTATTACTAGTGTTTCCTTAATGGGGACAAATTTGGCTTTTGGCAGATCATTCCTATACTATTGGCCCTGGATACTTTTGTGGGAAATAGAGCTATTTGGGGGTTTAATTGTTATAAAAATTAGGTATTATTTCATTTGAAGTGTAATTTTTATATACTGTTATGAGGTATGTTCTCCTTAGTACACAACTTGCTTAAGGTCCTGAGTGTGGGCTGGGGCCTATTGGCCGTGACTGAGGTTGGGGCTTAATGTCCCAGGTAGTGGTACAGGGGTTGGCAGGTGGGGGCCAGTCATCACCTCCCTTCCTTTCCTAGCTTGAGCACAGCAGTGGGGACCCACCCTTCCTCCTGGAGTCTAGTACTCGGCTGATTCACCTCCCTGTGTTTTCCCTGTGGGGCATATTAATGAACACCGAACGTTTAAAGAGTTGATTAATGTTTAGCTAAAATCCTTCCCTTTTCCCCATACTTCACATTGACTTGTTCGGCTTTTTCCTGTTCTTTTTTTTTTTTTTTTTTAATATGCCTTTATTGGTTTTAGAGAGCGAAGAAGGGAGAGGGAGAAAGAGATAGAAACATCGATTGGCTGCCTCCTGCACACCCCCTACTGGGGATCATGCCCGAAACTCGGGCATGTGCCCTGACCAAGAATCGAGCCAGTGACCTCTTGGTGCATGGGGCAGCACTCAACCAACTGAGCCACACTGGCCAGGCCCTATTAATTTCATAGAACCCTTTATATAGGGGAAATTAACCCCTTTTCTATGTAGTTTTTCTTAGTTTGCCTTTTGTCAGCATTTGCTCGTGTCTTGTTCTGAGTTTATTACTGCAAGTTGAAGTGACTGGGTCCTGAGTCTCAAGTGCTGTCCTCTTTCTCACTGGATGGCCCATCCTGAGCTGAATGGTGGCTGGGCTAGTCTCTCACAAGCCACTTAGACTGCCAGTGTGTGGGGCCCGCCGTGGAGGTAGACACAGTGCTGTGTGGCCCTCTGCGGGAGAACAGAAAGGCCTCTCTGAGGTGACCAGGTCACATATGGTCTGGAACAGAGTGGGACAAGTTGCCAGACGGCCCAAAGGCCTGGAGAAGGGGAGCTGGGAGTGATGGAACAGTGGTGAGATGTTTACTGGAGGGTAGGGGTCAGGGCCAGATTAGGGTGAGAGCCATCCTTGGGGATCGAAGCCATCCAGGAAATGGACGGAGGTATGGATGGCTGTGCGGTTTGAAAGTCACTGCTGTTCCACCCTTCCTCAAGGCCACCTACCCAGCTTGGGCCTCCCACAGTGGGTGTTCCCCTGAGGACACCTGGGACAGGTGCTCAGGTCTCCTGCTCTGCAGGTGTCCTCTGAGAGCAGTCCTCAAGTCCTGGGGGCTGTCTGTGTGGGCGGAGGGCTGGACAAGCCCTGGGTGACAGGTGACATGAGGAGCATCCTAGAGAGATGACAGTGGACAGGGCTCTGGGGTTTGTGATGGGGGTTCAGGTCAGACTGGACTGGCTGCTGTGCCTACTCTGCACCTAGCACCCTCAGCATCCTCTCTGGGTTGTCACTGGATGACTGGCCACTCAGCTTTCCCTAGTCACTCGTCACCTCACTGACCCATTGCTGCAAAGCCTGCAGAGTCTCTAATAGGGAAGTCGCGGTCACTTTCTGTGTTCTCAAACTGGGACTGGTGTGTCGGGCAGACGAGGCTGTGAGTGTTGTCTGTGCTGGAGGAAGTGGGGGCTGGCTCTCAGGGGGGCCAGGCAGCCTGCGACAGCAGAGGGGCAAGGAGAAGTGAAAGATTGAGTGTTGCCTCACCAGTCCTGCGTGTAAGAACCACCCCAGCTGCTCTGAGTGCCCAGGGAGCATCCTTGGTGGCCTCGACCTGGAAGCCCTCACCGGTCTGCACAGCTAACCTGTGGCTAAGAGGGGACATCAGGCTTTTGTCATGTTTCTCTTGGAAAACACATAATGTGAGGCTGATCTTATCTGTGACCTCCTGGTTGTTCACTGGAAACACTTTGGGGTTCACATTAGTGAGGACTCTAAAATGGGATCTTTTTGGTTTTTCTGTTGAACTTAAGAAAAATGAGGGCATGCTTGTCTGCATCAGGGGGATGCTGGGCTCTCCCGAGTGGCCACCTTCCCTCAGATCCAGCTCTGCAGAGGCCACTGTGAGCAGGCCACGGAGGGTGAGTGGCTCCCTGCTAAAGGCATCAGACCCAGAACTGAGTGTGGGTGTGTGCAAAGATGTCCCAGAGCGGTGTGGGTTTTGTGATGGAACAATAATGGTAGTGCAAGTCTTTCGTTTTCAGTGGAGGACTGGGTCAAGGAGAATGCAGTTCTGACCGAGTTTGGGCATGCACACGTAGACTTCACAAAGCTGGCGTCCTGTTTTGAAGTGTTAAACATTTGCCAGCAGGTCAATGAAGTTTCATTGATTTATGGAGCTCTTGTCATTCGCCTGGTTAGTGGGTCTCATCTCCAGCCAAATAGTGGGAAGAAGACCCGCTTACAGCCACACAAAACCAGAGTGGCACCTACAGCCTTACTTAACGTCAGCTTCCCTCCTGTTTGTTGATTAACTTATTGTGTGGACAAAAGATAAAAGATCCAGGAAGTCCCCGGAGTCACACCAGCCCATGCACCCAAAGGTCACGGTTTGATTCCCCGCCAGGGCACATGCCCAGGTTGCGGGCTCGATCCCTAGTAGGGGCGTGCAGGAGGCAGCCGATGGATGTTTCTCTCTCCCTTCCTCTCCCTAAAAATCAATAAAAACATATTAAAAAGAAAAGGACCCAGGAAAGCACTCACCCCTCTTCTGGTCTTCGTGTCTGCATTATTTTCCTGTTTCATTTCCTTCATACTGATATTTTACACACTGAGAAATCCCGAGCACAGACGGCGTGTCTTCTTATTTTAAACATGTACCTTAGAAGTGCATAGGTTGGTTCAGTTGGGTAATGTGACACATGCCGTTTAATGCAGACAGTGTGGCCTCCAGTCTGGACATTTCATTGTTGATGTTCAAATCAATAACACTTAACATGCGTGGAGCCCTTTACCACATCCAAACTATTTCTGCTCCTCAAACAACTTTATAAGCCTTTTTAAAAAATAAAAGGCAGCCTTGGCTGGTGTGGTTTAGTGGTTAGAGCACTGGCCTGCATACCAAAGGGTCGCGGGTTTGATTCCTGATCAAGGGCACATACTTCAGTTTTGGGTTCCCGCCCCAGTCTGGGGTGTGCGGGAGGCACCCAGTTAACGTGTCTCTCACATCAGTGTTTCTTTCTCTCTCCCACTCTCTGGAAAGCAATGGGAAAAATATCCTTAGGTGAGGGTTGAAAAACAACAACACAGCAACAATAAAAGCAAAACTAGAGTCTTCGATACATTTATAAGCAATTTCATAGGGTACTGTCGGTGGCTGAATGTGCCTCGAGCACCCAGGCTGTGGGCTGAAGTGGGCGCCAGCTGATCACGGGGAGCAGCTGCCCTCCTGTCAGGGGCAGGGCTGCCGCCACCCGGGCTGCTCCTGTTTCTTTTTTTTTACTTTATTGTTGAAAATACCTGTTTCTTCTTTTTGGAGGAGAGCGAGTGTGTCACTGAGGACGGCTTGCCTGTTCTCTCGGTTCAGAAGCCGTAGTCTTGACCAAAGCCATTTGTTAAGGCTGGAATTGCTGAGCGGTTTGCTGTTGCCGTTGTGAACACTCTTTCATTCTCTCGGTCATGCCTGGCCCCTGGGGGCTGCTGTTCAGCAGCCCTGTAGCCTCAGGTGTCTGGCATATGGATTAGGTTCTAGAAGATTCATATAATTTTGGTAGAAACAGTTTTTTTCTTTTTCTTCTGGAGATATTTATTCCCTGTGTAAAAATACAGAGCTCGTCACTAAATACAGTAAAAGCTTGAAGAAGTTTTAGATAAGAGAGGATTACCCATAAAAAAGTTTTCCAGTGGTTTGACCTGGCTCATGCACTGTTTGGCTCAGTGTGGTTATTATGAATGTTGGTGAAAATGGTTTATATACAGAATGTATGCTATAATCTTTTATTTATTCCCTGGCATAAATTTGCTTTTCTAGTGTTTTCCAGTTCTGTGTGTTGAGAAGTAAATAACAATCCTGTTGAACAAGAATTCCCCGTGCGTGGGAACAGGTCACGAGCACGGAATATAATGACGTGGGGAGGGGATTGGAAAAGCCTTCTTGGGAGCAGTGGGATTTGTCTTATTCAAACCTTGTCAGTGTCAGTGCTCTGGAGGGCAGGCCTGTGAAGTCAGGGGCTATAGGGCTGGGCAGGGAGTGCACCTCGCTAAGTGCCCTTGGGAGAAAGTAATGAGAAAAGTGGCTGGAAGGACCAGAGCTACAGGCAGGGAGGGAAGGTGGTCGCCCAGGAGAGCGCCGGGGGTGTGGGATGAGGGGCCCTTGCTGACACCAGGGGCCACCCGCCCTGCAGACAGGTGTGTATCCTGTGGCATTGTTTCTTGGGAAAGGTCGGGGTGGGGAGCAGTCTTCCTGTGACCAGTGTATGATCTCAGCATGACTAATGGCTTTGCATGTGGACACAGTGCATGCTGTGCTCATGGTTACGTCCACTGTCTCATTTGATTCTCCCAGTGACCCGAAATCCCGGGATTATCCCTAATTCACTGGTGAGGAAAAGAGCTCAGATCTAGTATTTTGCCACATAAACAGGGTGGTCCCATC